GATTTAGAAGTTATTAGACACTAACTAACAAAATTAAACCAATCTTAAATACATTTCTAAGGGTGATTTTTTTTGTTCTTTGTTGTTGATTAAAATTGACCATGAATGCAGCTTGGTGGGACCCTCGTTTATTAAGAAAAACATACATTTATGGAAAAGATTTTTATGAAAGTGCATATGCACACATGCAAACCGTGGGAGAGTGACAGAGCAGCAGTGATGCATGTGACGAGCTGCAACCATAAATGTCACACTTACACTAGCGCTTAGCTAACCAACACATACACAGACCACACACAGATACAGGCTCTTCCCAGACACATCTGCACGCACACACACCCGGTCAGCTGCTCTGCACTGCTGCTCCTACCTAAATGAGGTTTAATTACGATCCAACCTGACATGCTAGAGTTAGAGCTGTGGGGCAGCTGCAGCCAAGACGGCTAACTGATCCCCTGAAATGTGCAGATTCTCATGAATCATGTCTTCATTAATGGCAAACAGAACGCACACAATGCCCTGTGAGGGGATCATAGAAAAGTGTCGTACACACAGTTACCGTTTCCCTTTGCTGCTGTTTGATGATTTAAGACAATCGGGCAGTGAAAGAACTAAATTCTCCTGTGGATACTTTCTGCCGGCTGGGAAGCAGCTCTGAGAGATGGAAGGAGGAAGAGAAGTTTCCTATTTGCAAGTAGGAATTGTTTCATTATGAGCGTTTGACAGATCTGTTTATGTTATAGTGTTGGATGTAAAGAAGAGGCTTTTCTGCACTTTGTACGATAACTATAAGCTACACCACATGCTGCTGGTATATGGAGTGATTTTTTTGACAGAAAATAACATGTTTTGTAAATGGAAATATGAAGAGAAACATTTAAAAAACTTCTTAACCCCAAAAAACAAAAAGGTTTTGAGAGTAATTTTGCTTCTCATGTTTTATTTTGTGTTTCAAATCATTATTTACAGTAGCAGCCATTCAAAATGGCCCTTCACAGTCAAACGCCAGCCAAATAGCAGCACACATCCCTGCAACTCCGAGAAAATACCCTCCAACTTTCAGCCCCATCTTGCATGTATTTTTACTCTGACTCCTCCCTTTCACTGAATTACAGGGTCTGACCAGGCGATGACGCTTCTCTTTAGATCTTAATGTCCACAAAACATGACAAAGAATATTTTAGTATTAAGATTGATGTTTCAAATTAATTGCAGGGACCAGCTAAGGACCAGCCAATGACCCATCAAGGAAAGTGGGGAAATTTTGAATGGCTACTGTATGTCAAATTTTGTTCATATTTTCTTTTTTGAAATAACCTTTTTCCTCTTACAGATTTTATATCATCACCAATTTTTCAAGTTATCCTGGACAAACAAACTCGGCTAAAAACATAACATAATTACCTGGCTTGGAAAATGAGGTGGTGGGTGAGCTCTGCCTCTGTGTTTAAGAGGGGTTCCTCATGCCCTTGTCCTTGTATCAGCTGACTCTCTTTCAGCCCTAGACTCCTTTTCTCTATCTGGACAACTAGAGGTTCTGGCAAGTGGCTCCTCATGACAAACAGGGGACTGAAAATCACCTGAGAGAAAAGAGAAACTGTGTCAATCTCAGCTAAGATGGGTCTTAACCAAGGATTGCTCAGCTAAGGTCGATCAGCTGGATAAAAAAATAAATCTTAAGAGCAAGACAATAAAAAATCCACAGTGAGAATCACAATAACAGAAGTTATGACAATAAAATCTGAAACAAAAACAGAGTGAATGTCAGGGAGCATATTCAGAAAACCGTCATGATGTGGATCTATAAAGCGTTAGCTGGGTGCTACCTACCAGCCGCTGCTGCATGTGTGAGTTGGGCTCCACAGTAATCAGAGTGCACCAGACATAAAGCAAAGATCCGCTGGAGCAGGCCACCTGAAAGACAACAGATCACTGATCGATTAAAGGCTCAACAGTTTGTTTTATAAAAACAGGCGCACCACCAGAAGGACCTACTAACACCTCTACAGCTTCACTATCCGTTAGAAGGGATCGCAGAGACAAAATAACACTTTTCTAGTTGTTTTTGTTTAGGATGGGATGAGTGAAAGATTAGCTGCATTAGCCTCTGTGTTTACAGCTCTCCATCAGTATTACATTATGATGTTTTGACTTTGAAAATTATAAAGTGTGCCCGATGCATCAATATGGCGGAGGTCTGAGACATTAGTAATATTAGTAAGATTTAAAAGCTGAGAATGTGCCCACCAAACAGCCTTAAAGTCTGACTGGTTTTTGTCCCGTTTCCTTCTCTCTCTTCACTGAGGAGACATTATAACACGTCCGATTTATGACAGACAGGGGACCTTATTTAGCGGGGACAGCGATGGAGCGCAGGGAGCTTTCAGTCATTATGTTACAAACATTTGCACAACTGGCTTGCTGGGTATGGTGGGGGGGGTTATAGCTTTGGCAAACAGACACAGAGGCCTGTTCCAATGAAGAAGGCTGAAGAAAGGTCATGATAACCTGCTGTGGTTCCTAAAAAAATAAAAAAAGCAGGAAGAAAAGCTGCAAAAAAGAGAGGGAGAAAGTGAGTGTGTCATGACTCCGTAGTTTTTGGTTCCAAGTTTTCTGTTTGAGTTTAAAGTTACACTTTTTATTCTGGTCTTTCTGTGTTTTCTAGTTTATTGGGTTCATTTCCATTTTGTTTTAGGTTATATTTTTGAATTATTTTGTGTTTCTTGAATTACTCTCTGGCTATGTTCGCACAGCAGCCTGAAGTGACCCAATTCAGATTTTTTGGCCCATATGGGACCTGGATCTGATCTTTTCATGGCAGTCTGAACAACACAGATCCAATTTTCTCCGATGCGACTCAGGCCAACTGGCTATGTGGTCTTGAATCGGCCAGGTCGCATTCATCCGACCTGAACACCATTAGTAACCGACAAAGGTCACTATTCTGGGTCTTGCTATGAAGAAGCAGCAAGAAAAACAACAACCATGGCAGAAGATGATGCTGAGAGCAGTATTTATGTTTAACCATCTTGTAAAGATTGAGTTTATAAGGATGGGAAATATCACTGGATGCGCTTTGGCACTACCATCCATGTTTACTTCCGTAAACACAGAGCACGCTTGTTTATGACGTCATTGCGTCCTCTACTGCGCATATGGGACGCTTGCGTTGTATGACTGCAGTTCACACAAGAGATCACATACAAGGCGCATATATTTGGAAATGTGAAGGGCAACGCAAAAGAATAGGATTTAATGAAAAAAATGAATTGAGCATGAAGGCCTGCAGTGTGAACATAGCCTCTGTTCCTGCCTTGTGTTTGTTTCCTTCCCCTTGGCTTCCATCTGGATGCTTCCATCCACACCTCTTCCTTGTCAGCTCATTAGTCCAGTCTTTGTTCTGTCTCCCATATATACTCTCCCTGTGCAGTTCCTCACAATGGAAAAACAATCTAGAAATACGTAAAAATTTCTTTAATTAGTGTATTTAACCTTAATTTGAGTAGGTAAATTTCAGTTTGCCAATGGAATGATTATTTTTACAGTTAAAATAAGCTTTTTAGATAATATGCACTTGAAATAAGACAATGCAATTGTGTTTTCTTAAGTTTAAATTGTCTTCTTCCACTGGTAAAATGTCTCTTTTACATCCGCAATCCAAAAACAAATGCACTTATTTTAAGAAAAAATGACTTATCTAGATTTTTATTTTTTCCAATGTAGTGCTGGTTCCTCGTCTTTCCCTGGCTCCTCATGTGTGTTTTCCCTGATGTCCCCTAGATCCTGGCTTTCTGTATTTGTTATTTTGGATTTCTGCCTCATTAAACCTGCTAAACTCACCTCTGGTCTATGCATTTGGGTCCTCAAAAACCTCCACCAACTGTGACAGAATGGTTGTAATTCAAATATCAATTTGCAGACAAACGGCATGGTTAGAGAAAGGTGGACTTTAAAACCGAAGGTGAGTGAATGAAAAGATGCTTTAGCTGCTCTAGAAGGAGGACAGGGACAGAGGATCCCTCCTCTGATGTCAATACATCTTCCATCTTCTCAGAGATAATCACACCTACATCCAGAGTAGCTCTGAACAACACAGAACAAATTCAAAAGAGGAAAAAAAAGGCTAAAAGGAGAAACCAAAGAGGAAAAGTGAAGAGCAGGAACAGAGGGGTTGGAGCTGGCGAACATCCAGCGGTGCGAAAGTGGCTTCAAAGCCTCTCTGTGTGCCCACATATCAGCTAGTGTTTCCTGTCCATGGTTAGTGTTGTTATGAGAGAGCATAAACTGTATTTTCTACCTCTCAACATGGTCAGGTTATGGGCTGCAGGGCCTTTGTAAGCCTATCTGAGGGGAAGATCTCAATCTGTTTCCTAACAGCGAGCGCCAACATGGAAGCTCAGTGACTGTGGCCACCCAGAAGAAGAGGATCCGGTCACGGTTGGTGGTCCGGTCGCCAGTTCCAAACATGCGTGTGGACACAGAGCTAGTCCTGGTGTGTGCAATGTTTGTATGCATTGTGTACTTCTTTGTGTCTGACTACCACATTTGGACATTTCTGTGTGCAAAGCGTTGGCTGCAGTCGGTACCACCGTCCACCGTGCACCAGTTAGTCCAATTTAAAAAGGCATCTGAGTCAAAATCTACCTGAACAACAGAGCTGCTGCTCCTGCCCTTTTCCCTCTGCTCCAGCTGAACATCCTGGGACCAGTCCTCGTCTCCACGGGCTCTCATGCACAGCTCAGTCATCTCTGCATCTTCCAGCACATAGGAGGGCAGTTTGGCTCCCGCCTGCAGGCAGTCACAGTGCTCTCTGACCACCGTCTGACCGTCCGCTCCCACGTAGTGCTGCACCACCCGCAGTTCGATGTCCTGCGTCAGGTAGCTGCACATCACTTGCCGCCCGCAGATTATTATCTGGAAGAAAAGTTACGTGTGAGAAGCTAATTATGTCTGCTACTTGGACAACATCTGGCTGCAGCCACAAAACTGAAAAAATACACATTACACTAGTGTAGTCCTCATAGTTAACTCCAAAGAAGCAAAGTAACTGTTAGCAACTTCACAGAAGAGCCTGAGTCTGTAAATGCATGACCTTGGCCAATGAGAAACACAGCAGATATCGCTTCAGAATGACCCTTCTGAGGAT